AAAACTTGAACACTTTTCGACAGCGACAGCGACAACGAGTGTAAGACAGAAAGTGGAAACGAAAGAGGGCCACATAAGAGTGGTGTTGAGAGAAGAAAAAAACGTGCACACGAAGAGATTAAAATGCAAATTAAGTTCAAGAGGCTGTAATATTGGGAAACGAAGCTCACAATAAGCAATAAACATGGAAATTCCAAATAAATTACAAACTTAACAAATTTTCTTCGTGAAGCCTCATTTCATTCCACCCAAAAACCGGCTGCACTTTTGCATTGTTGTGCCACTTGCTGACGGGGAGTATATGCTCAAGCTAACGAGAAAATAACGCCGAAAAATTTCCCATCTAAAGTCGCTTTTTTTTTCAATTACATCACTGGAAAATGGAATGGCGATTTACATGTTATTCAAACTCCTTCCGTTAAATATACTACAATTTCAAAGCGCTGATTTACTACAAGACAAATATCAAACTATGCCGAGATTCGACGCCCGATGCGAGACATATAACAATGAATCATGGTGTATGTGTTTGTTGTAGTTAACAATAAGTTGACGTTCTATTTTATGATTTTCAGCATGTTTTCTACTTGGATGGCAATTTATATTGTCTTATTTGCATTTCACTTCCGAGTGAATTTTATTGTTTTTTTTCATAGACTGTTACCATTCAAATCACACAACTTGTGTACGAAATAAATTGCCAAAAGAGCGATATTCTGCTGCATGTTTTATAGACATTTGGCATTATTCTTCGGTTTCAATTGGTTGTGGCTAGTGGAACGAAAAAAAGGAGAAACTTTCAATTTTGCAACTGATTATGATGCATCAAACATTGCATATAAATTTCAGTCCAATCGAATTGAAAACGGGTAAAACGGATCGCTTGCTTTGTTCTAGTCATTGTCAATTTTAATGCATTAACAATAAGACTATGGCGACGGTCATGTCATCCGATTTTTCTGGTAAAAATGTGCTATATCATAAGAATTTAAGTTTGCAATTCTCATCGTTGGCAGCTGGCACGGGAATAAAAATATGTGTCTCTCTTCTCATGAAATCAATTTAATTTCAGTTTCCATGTCATTTTCCAGTGAAGCCGTTTTTTTTTCTCAGGCCGTCTCATTTTCTCCTGGCCTTGTTTTTGTGTGAAGCAACGAACAAATGGAAAATTTAGTGTTTTAAGATGGTGTTATGACTGGTGTAGCATCGCCAAATGCATGAACGATTCCATTGTTGTAACCATCATCCATTACTCTTTCTTTTTTCCTCTGTCTGAAAATTCACGCAAACTTGGAGGAGACACTGAATTTTTTTTCTTCCGATTTTCATGGTATTTTATCGAAGAACATGGGAATTGAACGAGAGAAATAGAACAGCAGCCACCAGTTACCGAAATCAAGAATTAAAACAGAATGGAAAAAAAACGAATGAATTTCGGTCGCTGTATTGAATGTACGATAGTGGGGCATAAATAAAATGGAGAAGAAGAATCGACGATGAAGAAAACGAAAAAAAGCAACACACCCAAAATGAAACCGAACACTTGACAAAAATAGAGAAGCGGAAGCGCATAGCGGACAAACACACATAAAATGTGATCATCTTTCACAAACTGGATTTCTGGTTTTAGGGTTACGTTTGCATTTCTTTCTCTTTCTCTCTTCTTTTTCGCAGGGATCGTCTGTCATCTTTCATCGCATATGATGGTGATGCAGTTTCTCCTCATTCGATGCAGTTTTTTTTGTGTGTGGCAGTTCTCGCATAATTCTTGTTAGTATTCGTTTACCGATTTGATTTCGTGACTGAAAAAGGGCTGAAGACGTGTCCCGAATTTCAGCAATGAAATGCGCTTCGGCTGCAAGAGTCTTTTTCGATTTGTACCAGTTTTGTTGTTTTCGACACTCATTGTGAATGGTGTTAAAGTCAATGCATACAAAGCTCTTCCACATGACACTAACAATGGACGAAGGACTGAAGCACATTTAAAACTATTGCGATCTACCCAGTGAGAAAAAGTGAGAAAAGAAAAGAAACGTAGAAACAGAAGAAAATGTTGGGGAATTTGTACGAGATTATGACTTTGTCTCGAGATTAAAACAGATGAAAGCGGCAGCGCGGCCCCAAACATGAATTGAATAATATATACATATATAGTGCGGTTAGTGTCGTTTGTCATTTCACTTCTCGGCTTGTATGGTAACAAATACCATATCGCCGTTTTGATTAAATAAAAACATCAACGCCAAAGTTAATCCAACGATGCTCATTCTTTCTTACTCCCTTCCTCACAAAGCTGTCACAACGAATTGGTTCAAGGAAATGATAAATTCAACCCGAAGCCCAAGTTGAACCGAAAAAATTTCATATACTCATGGCTGCTGTTACCGCAGTTTGACAAAAACGAAATGGTCTCTCATCGCTTTTGATGTTCCAAAATGCAAATTGTACACGCACGAATGAACCACACATCTTCAGAGCGCACAAGAGAGATGATGGGAAAAAAAGACAAAGGGAACGCCCGAAATGTATGCACATTTCACATTCATTTTGCCATCTCATAAATTTTTACAAACACTCTGAAATTGGTTGACTTTGCCGTTGCTGTCGCACACACATAACTTACAATTCTACCTATCGGTTTTTATCGTTGGCTGCACAATTGCCGAGCAGCCGTTCGTTTGTCCACCCGCCACACACATCCATGAAATATGGATTATGTGTAATATAAGCGAATAATATGCAAAATACGAGCCACCGATTGGGATGAAAACAATGGGGCGACAAATATGAAGCCACTTTTTTCGCTTGTGAACCGAGTATGTGTGTGTCTGTGTCTTGTTCCGTGCCGTCGTCCGCAATGTCACACAATGTTATGGTGCACACCATTCAGCCATCATTTTCGACGGCAACGACTACTGCCTAAGCGACTAAACAATATCCACCCAGAGGAAGAGAGAGCGCACACCTATCGAATTCACTGGCTCGTTATAAATTCCGAAGCAACTTGAAAATTTATTGTCAAGACAGTCTCATAATTCTGCTTTTGTTAATGTTCTTCATTTCGTTCTCTTCTTTTTGTATGCAATGTGGTCGCCTTTCACGTGCTCCCATCACATTCGATACGAATACGTGAAATGAGTTTCCATCGCCGCATCGCTTTTGTTCTTTTTCGCCACTGTTCTTCATGTTCACAATTACGCGATAAAGCCACTGCTAAAACCACAAATACAATTTGTGCCATCAGCGAAACAGCTCACAGTTGTCCTTATGATAAAGCATATATATTTCAATACCCCGACAAAGAAACGAACGAAAAAAAGAAATCCCACGCAGACAAAAAGATTCAAATGCAAATTTTTTTCTGTGCGACTGATGCTCGACTCGAGTGAACCATCAGTTTTCCATTGATGGCGGTTGTTTATGCTCTTCGTCTCGTAAATTGTGTATTCTGGTCAAGAATGGTAGAAAAAAATGATATGCAGGAAAATGGCATCAAAGAATTGTTCGCTTCGAACAATAAACAAGACCAATACAAGTGATATGTGCTGCTTGGAGACCGAGACAGACAAATGAAAATTAGATAACAATTTTTGAGCGAATTCACAAAATGGTTTCTGTCTGTCTGCGTTTAGATAGACCTTAAAAGATTCTCTACAAATTTTGTTGTAAACGCATTTTTTTTCTTCAGGACATTCCGCTGTAAAAACGCTTGGTTACCAATTGTGTGAGAGAAAAAATTAGCGTTGCACATCATTTGTGTTCACGCGATCGTTTGGCTATCGCAAAGTTAATTTTCCAATGGCTTTTTCTATTTGTGGCAGCGGCGGCCAAAATCCTATTTCAAGTAATAATTTAGGTGCATGTGCAGTTGTCGGGTAACATTTGCTGAAACTCAACATACGATGCACGATGCGAGACAAGTGATAAAATGAGTTCGGACATTTATTTTAATTTTTCTGAAACGAGTCTCTGCTTATTTGACGGAATGTATTTATCAGTAATTGTGCATGGCTTGGCGAAAAATATGCGGCCACGATAGTTGAATACATACGTGCATGCATGCATCGAACTAGGGAGGGAGAAAGGAAGAGAGGGAAAGGCCTATGATGGCATGCGACAGATTTGACCACGGCATTTGCCATGCGGTTCGTTCCTTTCAAATAAAATACTTTCTGCTCTGTGGCTGTCCATCTCGTATGTTTTTCAACGAATTTCGACTTACTTGTACGTGTGTGTGTGAGCATATGCTTTTGGATCTTGCCACATTTTCGATTCATTGTCGGCTTGGGTATAGCCCATGCTGATTCGATGTCGCTTCATTTCGTTCCGTTGATCTGACTATCCATTTTGCTGTCATTCCATCTGTTATTCTCCAACGAGCATTTAACAACAACTGTTTCTCTTGGCATGACGAAATACAAATCTCTCTCTCTCTCTCTCTCTCTCTCTCTCTTTCTCATACACGAATGGGAAAATGGCAAAAATCAAATTATTTTCAGGGAGACTTTTCATGATGCACTGGAGCTAAGCTGTTATCCGGTGTATACATTTTTGTTCTACATTGAATCCGACTGAACAGAATATATTTTACTATTATATTCGGTTTTAATTAATCAAATTTATTATGGAAATTTGGTTGACTCAATGAAATGGTTTTTTGAACTCTTTTCTGCTTTAATGTTGGATTTCACATAGATTTTACACTCTACAATACATATTTGGCAATCATTCATTTCATTTAATTCAATCAACTCGCCTTTTTTAGCATTAACAATGGTATTTAATGATCTCCTCTGAAAATGAGTTTATTCCATCATAGATATAACCGCACATAAATGTATATATATGTAGTTGGAATTTTGTTAATTTGATTCAAATAAATTTGATTCGACCAAATGGATCTCTTTTGATTGGTCTCATTTACTCAATTCAAATGCTAATTCAATATGATTAATCCAATTTTTTTGTTTTCTCTCTTCTCTTTTTTTCCTCATTTACAGGCGAAGTAGAGCGACTACTCAAAGAGTATCGACAAAACCAGGAGCTGGTGCGACGCATTGGCGGCCATTATTATCAGATTATTTATCCAGTGCAATTGCGACATCACGAAAAAATGGGAATATCGACACGTGAAGTGGCTAAGGTACGAATTGATCGTTTACGAAAACGCAATACATTCGATTCTACGGTATGTTCAATCATCTTCATTTCATCATTCTGTCTCTCTCTCTCTCACTCTCAAACACTTACAATTCAACGACATTATGACAATAAATTTATAGCCAAAAACAACCCATACCGATAATGTGTCAACCCGTCTGATCCATTTTTGAAGTGTGAGCTCGACGACGCAATTTTTTTTAAACGAGCCAATTTTGCAAACGAGCGATTGTTATCATAATACTCATAAATTTTCATACGAATGTAATCTTCTGACCCGAATATTGCCAACGACCTCACCCATCGAACCTATCGGATTGAACTTTTTAACTGTCAACTGATACATATATATATAAAGCAATACACTCACTTTTTGTACGTCTATGTATATCTGTATATTCATAGTCGATTGAGTTACAGTTGTGCCTGTATGTTTTAATTTATCGCTCGTTGTTTCCCTTGCTTTGTCCCCCGTTTGTCGTGTCAAAGCCTTAATTTATGTTGCCAAACCAAAAAAGGGAAGAAATCAGGCTACTGAAAACGCATTAGGAATGTAAGTAGAGTGTGTCATGCATAAAAGCCAATAACCATAATTTATTTACTTTTTTGCCGACGAACACTCACGAAAATTGCGAAAATATATGATAAATTTGTTGGCATGTTTTCGGTTCTCATATGTATCTGGCACTTAATTATGAGACAAAATCGTTTCATCGTCCAACCCGTATATTTATAAAGGATACTTTTTGACCATAAGCTTTTTATTCGTATCTTTTTTTTCATGTCGGGGAGTGACATTCATTACTATTCTCATTTATGCAGCCCAAAGAGAGGAAACATGGAAGAATTATAATGATAATTTGTAAAGTGTTTTTATTGAATCAGAGAAATTGAACTGCAGCAGCATAAGGGTTTTTGGAGCAATGAGAGAACCATTTAAATCCATCATCATTCATTATATTTTAGTAATTGTTCTTGGCTCTTGTTTTTAAAATTCTAATTTCAAAAATTTTGCATGAGTCATTTCCATTGTTCCTTTTTTTCTCTATCTAGAAAACCATTTCTCATTCATCTAACATTTTAGCACACATTCATTCGATAGCACGTGCACCATAATTTTGATGCAATAATGTTGGACGGTTTCTATCTGAAATAACAATTTCCAAAATATATAAGGTTTCAGTTTCAAAACAAAAAATGTGTTTTTTTTTTCCGCTGAGATTTCACAAATAAAACTCATTCATCATTTGTTTGTATATGGCGAGCAAAGTTCGTATTTTCAAATGGTTACGTTCCGCAACTTGTGCGATTATTTATGATAGTTTTCAATCTTAGCCATTCATTATTATTATTCGCTTTCAATTATTCCAAGAGAATTCTCTCGGAATTGTGAATGCTTCGATCATATTCCATCCGTTATTATCCTTGTTTCAGACGATATATTCGATTTGTCTATTACTAATACTACTTTGTCTCAATTTATAAAACATTTGTTTATCATTTTGAACATTATTATCAAAATGCTCGGAAACTTAATATCTTGCATTTTTTTGATTTTTTGTGATGAATTCACGCGAAACTGTTGTTGTTGCTTTTTTTGTCTTGCAAAAAAAAAATCAGCTGTATGCCACGTATCCATATTGATAAGTTTGCTGTTTGTTGTTTTTCTGGACCGTCATTAATGCGTATTGTTTTGCTGGTTTTTCTGTCCGCTCTCATCATTTTTTGCAGCAATTTGCTGGTGCCATGCTTTCGAATGCTGTTTCATAGTGTAGTTATTATTGCCTTTAGCTTTTTTGTGACAGTGCTTTTGAACATTGTGCGCTTTTGAGCGAGTTATTGTGTATTTATTATATGCTGATGGTGCTTTTTCCTTATCGCATACATAGAAGAAACAAAAACAAAACGAATTTCATAACAACATTTCTATTTCATTTAATAAAAAGAGGAGAAACAAACAGATCTCGCACCATTCAAAACCATACATTCGTATCATTAAATTTTATTTGCGGAATTGTGCACATCAGAAGTGTCGACAATTTCAAATCGTACGAGTACCCGAAAACGAACGAACAAAAAACTAAACACACACAAAAACACTGTAGCATTTTCTCCCCGCATTCAAACAATATGCACACACACACACACAAACAAACAACAAAGCACTAACTGTCATTTAAACATAGTAACACGACTTCTAGGAGACAATAGATGGTTTCAATGACGATGAACCAACTACACAAATCATTTCAAACATCGTACCAAAACTTTTTAGTTGAAACATTATTTGTTTGTGTTCTGTTTATGGCATTTCTAGTTTTGAAAACAACAACAAAAAGAGAACCGTACACATATATGTACATAAATCTATTTTTTTCCATTTTCTCGATGTGATTCATTTAATTAGAGCTCGTATTTTTTCCTCACCGGCGTCAGTAGAATACTTCTCTCTTTTTTTCTCTGTCCTACATTCCAATAAAATATAGAAGTCTTTTCAAATAATGTTGAATTTCAAATTGAATTGTTAATTTGGTTACATTGTGGGCAATTTTGATTACACTTTATTTAATTTTTTGTTGGATGTAAAAAATTATTATTGTTTATTGCAGTCACCGCAACGACCGTATGATGGCCAAGGTGGACGTAGTCGCAGTCGGGTAAGTGCTTATTATTAATATATGTGTATCGGATATCGCGATTGTTAAATTATATTTATGTTAAACATGAGCACATTTTAAATCGATGAACCACATAAAATAATAATAATATACCTGGGAGGGCGAAACCAGTCAACTTCATTTATGCCCGAGATATCCAACAAACCAAAAACTATCATGTACAATTTTTTTTTTCTCGCTGCGGTAAATCCGGCATTGGTTCCATTTAATTGAGTTCATGGTAATTTGATTAAACTTCGAATATGGATTTTACGCTGGAATCCCATTTCATGGACGCTCGCTCCGGGCTGATGATCAAAACATGAACCAAAACACATAGGATAAAAAAAACTGTTCGCAACTAATTAAATTGTTTAATTAGCAACTGCAGCGAATCCACCTTTTCCGTCGTTTGAATTACAAGCGCGTTTTTCAAACGGCAGCTTCATTTTGCATTTCATTGAATATTCGGAAATACTAGCCGAGCTATGTTTATTTCCATCTATTAACATTTTTCATGCAGTGTCTTATATTTTTTTGCATCAAATAAAAAAACTTTCCATTCAATGATGTGGACTGATGAAGTTAGTCCATAAATTTGAGCTTGTTCATTACAATAGCTTCACACCGACAAAAAAGATTTTGTGAAATACAATGTAAAAGATTTCAGACCGTCCGGTGCATGTTGTGTATAACTAGCGCCTTAACTTCAAACGACGGCCAAGTGTCGAAACTATTGTGTACGTGTACACTGTATGATTGTATTGTGTCATCTGAAGCATAGTAGAGTATAACAAAAGCAAGGCAGAAAACAACAAACAACGTGTGGCGCTGCTATGCAGCACACGATTCTTGTATACACAGGCTCTTTATAGGGCATAATCACTGGTCGTTTGCACGCTTACTTTTGTACATTATACAAGATTTTTGAAGAATGTACGGAACATCCATAGGCAAGAATATGTCTTATTTTCCACAAAAGATTGGTGTAATATACCAATGACAAACCAAATTTTTTCTCTTCAAATTTTCATATTTGATCATTTTTTGACAGTAGTTGATTTGATAATGTATGCATTGATATAAATAAATAATTTTACAAACAACGGAACCTTTTTTTATATACAAAGTCCTTTTTTCAATGCAGTTCACTCACTGAACTTCACTGGAATCCAATGACGCCTATAGATTTCCGCAGTGTCGTTAGTTCGAGTCGATTATCACTTATTTGCCACCTTGCATCCAGAAAAGTGTCCATTTGTACGTTATAGCGAATCAGTGGTTTGTTCATAAAATTGTTGGTTTGTAGTTTTCAACCGAAACCAAATGTGAAAGGCATAAGTTAATAAATCCACTGTGAGCGCTTATTCAATCCGCACCATACCATAAATAGTATGCCCGGAATTGCAGCTAAGAGCCATACCGAGAGAAAAAAAAAGGAATTTCCCTTGGGATGCCAATTAAAAGTTGTTTTTGTACAATGATGTTCGCATCGCATTCAGTTTAGAGTAACAATGCGTGGGCTTCAAGCAAGAAAACTTCCAACGTCGACTAGATAAAGTTAAAGACAGATAAAGGGAGAGAGAGAGTGAGAAAGGAGAAAAAACGATGACGTTCAAAACAGAGAGGTTACTATTGACCATAATGAAATGTTTGCGTTGATGCAAATACGATATTTTTACATCAAAACTGCTCAATATCCAATTAAAATTGTATGGATAAGTTTACTTTTTGATTTCTCATAAAGATCATCCGAGCGGTACTTTTGAAATGCGAACGAAATCGTCACGCCAATTCCAAAAGGCGAAACTTTTTGCAATGACAAACTTTGATTATCACGAAATTAAATGGGAATGAACGAGCTGCAGTTCTCGGAAAATCAATCAATTTTGCGAGAGTTGTGTCTGTGTGTGTTGGCTTTTGACAATCTGAATTCAGCAGCGTATTTTGTCACTTGTAAATTGGATTTTCAATATTAATTAACTGTGTAGCGTGAGTGTAGCCCCGCTCATTTGTTCGTTTGCTTACAGCCACATGATGCGTTGCTTTCAGAGGCCACAATGTGGAAAAATAATTTGAATTTATATTGCATTCCATTGCATAATCTTTTCCAATTTATATTCGCTTTGGCAGTCACTATCTCTCTCCCGCTCGCTTACTCAATAGCTTTCAGGCGACGCTATATTATCATTGCATATATATATATGTATGCATTTAAACCGAATTCCCTACAGTACTATTGTGAATCGAGTTGCAATGAAATACGTAAATATATTGCCCGGGTTGAATTTTATGCAGCTCGTATGTATATGTATATATGGAAATGTGTGTATTTATAGTATTTATATTAGCAGACAGCAAAAATCAGCTTCTGAATCGAAAGAAAGATTTGCACGATGTATTAACGAGAAGAATGCAATGAAAATTAATGACAGCACATTGCATGCAACAGAGAGAAAGGAAGAAAATATGCACACACATAAAATGAAGATGAAATAAAACAAAATCGAAGAATATTAGTTATGTCTTTGTAAGCGTCGCAGTTTGTAACCGTTTTCTCAATGCCAATCTGAGCAAATAAAACGAAAGACTAATAAAATTATCATTGCAATATTGGCATGTAGCGAATGGGTACGAATGGATTGGCTCTACCCTTGGTAACAGTGGAACTTATTCGTTCATTTAAATCCAATCGCTGTAAATTCAACGATACAAATGCACGCACGTAAGCGAAATCGTATTGGGACATCACATTTCTAATACTATTCCTTCGACAATTTCGTTAGCAACCAGTTTGGTGGCAATAGCAACGAAACCATAGGTAGTCGAATGCGACAGAGATTTCCGCAACTCACATTCACACATACACACCATTGGAACGGCCTGCATAATAATTCAGATGGATGGCATTCATTATTGCGAAAACTTTGCCAATTTGCGATAAATCAAGCACCACTTCTTCACCTAAACCCTGCCGGCTGTTGGTGGCAAACACTCAATATTCTCTGGGTTTGCCGCAGCCAAACTTTGCAACCATCAAAATACCATGATTTAGCCCACTAAATACACGTATAAATCAATATCTCACTTCGGAAAACTTTTATTAAAACCAAATGGCCGAAAGTGCCTCAAACGATCATTTTTGTGGGCGATGCAAAGATATATCGGCAATCCATATCTATTCAATCGACCGTTTTCGTTCAGAAATTTATTCCCAATGGAAATATTTGCATACAAATCTGTTGAATCTCATTTTGTTAGCCAAGCAGCCAGCCATCCAAAGAAGCCAATAGCATAAATCCAAGTATTTTATTCGTTTTGGTTGCGGCTGTGAGCTTTGAGTGATGCGCACACACTTGGTGGGCAAGCTTACGAGACAGTTCTATCTTTTATGAATTATGAAATAGAAATGCAAACGAAGAGCTCGGATTCAATAAATAACCGAATTCTCCTCCTGATATCTCTCGATGTGTGTCGATGTATGAGCAATGCACCTGTCATTTACTCGATTACTCAACAGATCACTCCGCTGAATGGCCATGTTCTGAATAAACGCCTATGAGTAACAAATAGACGTAATCAATATGCGTCTGTATTGCGCAACACGGCAAATATTTCATTTCGATTAATTTATATTAGTTTCCGTTTCGATTGACTCGGCGCTTCTGTGTATGAATTTGCCGTCATAGCTGTCTCGTCTTCATCAATTTTGATGGAACGCGACCGAAACCATCGAATTCCATAACGTCAAAATATGTCTAGTTATAATGATGATGATTCATCAGAAACGCAAATGCAAATATTCCGAAATTGGATGAGAGATTTCACACAAACAAACATATTCACATTCGAGGCCCATTGGAATCCAGCCATTTGCTTGCTCACTTGAAAGCAAACAACGTCATCAACATCATTCTGAAAGTAGAACGGATTCATAAGCTTGTGTTAAGTTCAGCCTCTCTGATCGTCTGTACAAATAGATAGGAAACGTCAAACAAGAACAATAAAGCGGCACCTGGCGACTGGTTTTTGAAATAGAGAATCATGCACATAGTTTGCTGTAACAAGTATGCGTCTGTGTAAGTGCGTCTGTGTTAGTTCAAACGTTGAAAGTATGAAACATTGCACTTAGTCCCCAGGTTCCGCTGTATTGTTTACTATTTTCATGATCAGAAAGGCTGGTTAAGTTACGAATTACAGATGCAAGTAAGTGTTATGTATGTACACAAAAAAATAACGTGAAAATTCAACAATAATCTCGATGAATCTGGGAAATGTAGCTTCAAAATTCTTCGAAGTGAATGAAATTATTCCAGCACGTGTTTCCTAGAAGTCAACACTGGTATGCAATAAAGGTTTGAAGATTCATTCCAAGAATTTATTCTTGTCCTTGCTCGAGATGAATTTTCAAGAAAAATCACACGGAAGTACATTGATTATAGCCCGTACTCATTCATTTTGTCTGGACAAATAGAAAACAGCTTTAAATATGTAGGTACATCAAGTACAATACATTGTTGCAATCATACAGTCCATTGGCGTATTATATGAATTTCAAAATTAATGTCAAATTTCCTGCTGTTTGTAACTCATTTTGCCAGACATAAAGTTCAATGTTCATTGGTAGTTAGCTTGCCCTTTTTAATGAATTGTGTCGTAAAACTGTGATCATAAAATCCTGAATTCAATATGAGCTTGAGCATTTATCTAATGAAATGACAGCGCCAACAGTATCAACTCTATTGAATGGATGTAATGATTTGTTTGTTTGCTGGCTGTCTTGCTGGAATCTCAAGGATAAGCCCATTCTATCAATTGATAAAATGAATCGGTTTCAAGTGTATGGGCCCGACTCCACCCCGAGTTTCTTATTCAATACAACGAATTAGAAACCCATCTCAATTAACACATGCTGTTTAATGCGTTACCACCAACTGGCACGGAACAACATTTTACAGTTAATTTTCCACTGATTCTTCTCCTATACCATCCACATATTG